TTCTATCCGTCATTCTTAATCATTCGTTTCCCCAAGCATTTCACCCTCCATCGAATCATTTCCCATCCTCAACAATACTCTCGAGCTGAAAAATGTCAAATATCAACCCAAGCAATCCCCCTCAAGGCCTTACCAGCAGAGCCGCTGCGACCCACAGTCCGGATATGATGGCATTCACCCACCCTCATCCAGTCGACCAACAGGAAATCCAATTCGACATCTCTCGACGTCGTAAGGGGGTCTGCAAATTTTTCAATTCGCAAAAAGGTTTTGGGTCAGCCCCCCTTTCCTTTCCTCCCTAATCATATCCTTTAATCCTGCTGCTTCACACTCGCCCAACAACCCCGAGCACGGAGCCTCAAGATTCACCCAGATCTGCACGCCCCCTCTGAAGGCATAGCATGGCCTGCTGACTAAATCAGAAAGGCAATGTGTTGCTGGAAAAATTGCTGCTTCTGTTCCATGTCCAACTTTGACCGTCTCCACCTTTCTCTTGCCGTACTCTTCATGAGAGACGCTCATATCCAAGGAGTGGGGCAATCAAGAGTTGAATTCTCATTTCAACTGTGGATTAGGTTCCAGTTCAATCATTTGGCGTAATCACGCCTTTTTTTTGGATCCATATTTTTTTTTCTCATGCCTCCCGTTTCAACAAGTGGTAATACTGACAGGAAATGTCAATTCACAGCTTTATAAATGACGATCACCCCGAAGAACTGGGTAATCAAGAAGGTCTGTTGGACCCTCCTTCCCATCCAGAGCAATACGTCAGAAACTCTCCGGCCCACAAGCTCATGCTTTTTGACATTTTTTCCTTCTTGGCACTCGATAACCAATCTCAGTTTTTGTGCATTATACTTCGATCGAGAGTAAAGGCAATTTTCGTTCACTAGCTGAAGTCAGTCCCGAGTTTCTCACTTGAATCAATTTACACTCATGATGATCGCAGAAATCAGTTCTGAGTGCTGGGTCCTATCCATCTTCTTTTCTTCAATTCTTCACGTTCTTGACTGGTCTTCTCTCGAAGGGGGAAGAGGTAAAGCAAAACTTCAACATTCATGACGTCTGAAGTCCAAACTGCGTTCTGAAGATGCGGTCTTCAAAATTTCAGGTCGAATATGTGGTCGCACCCGGCCAGAAGGGTTTTCAGGCCACTGAAGTCACGGGTCCAGCCGGTAAGCTAACCAACAAATTCAGAAACTTGTCCCAAATAGAAGCAGCGATTAGGCCTCCCTCCATTGCTCTGTCCCATCTTCTTCCCTCTCCTTGCCCATCCGCATGGCGACCTTTCATTCCCTTGGATTTCTTGATATCAATTTCAAGCCCTGCCACGGTACCTGATATATCCAGGGTACTCGCCAAGAGCTTGACACGCTAGAGTCCATGCGATCCGAATATGATCTTCTCACGTGCCAAAACCTCACCCATTCATACATGCTGCAGACAAATTACTTTGTCCAAGATGGAGCAGAAGCATGAAGAGATCCGGTGGGATGAAACCAAGTTAGATAAAAAAAAATGCCTAACCCCTGTCTTTCCACGTCCTCTGCACTCTTCCCAACCTCTTAATCCCGGTTTTCACCCCCTGCTCACCTGTGTGATATGTTCAGTTGCCTCGTCTGTGACCTGTCCATCTATACTGAAAATTGTATCTCTGTTTCTTCAATATCTTTTGTGCATGTCTCCACCTCATTGGTATAAATATGTGTATGTGTCTATGTGCATACATTTGTGTGATGGGTTGGCGTTGGTATGATCTGTGTTTTCCATCTGGCTGCGGGTTCGCCTAACCGATTCTTCTGCATCGCCTATCACTGCTCCTGAAACCCTTCAATCTCGCTGCGGATATCACTCAACGATCGGATCGTGGATATTCAATCTCCTCCAGGACGAGCGGTGCAGGGGGATGTCAAATCGAAAATGCCGAAGACGCCAACGTTCGTACCGTACCCCATGGGCATCATGCGTGAGTGTTTTCCTCGGTCTGATTCTAGATGCTCGTTGGCTGCTGTGGCCACCACCATCTGAAGCACGCAACTACGGTTTGACACTGGTTGTGAAGATGCATAATTGAAGTAATTCCGGCTAATCTGATACCGTCGTTTTGCTCCACCCTTTTTGACCGATAGCTGCAGCGGGCGCCTACGCCCTGGCCGGCGCGGGTTCGCCTTACATGCAACCTGACCCTTACATGGCGGCGGGTGCCTATCCAGCTCCATACCCCGGGCAGGTGTTCTACATCCCCTCTCCCATGGGAGTGATTGCGGGCGGCCACTCTCCTAACTTGACGGCGATGTCTCCGTACGCGGGTGCGACAAGTCCCCATCCTTCCACCCGATCGCCCACTATTCCCTTTACACACCATCAACATGGTCAGGTGGCCATGGCACTCTCACCACAACCCGCCGCGGGAGGATTCGGATTTGGAAGCCCTTCGATGGCATACGGATTTGGGGGCTCTTCGGGATCCGCAGGGCTTCCGGGCGCCTCGCCTGGTGCCGGAAGTGGGGTTGGCGAGATGCGTTCGCCCAGAATCGTTAGCGCAGGCGGCGGTGGCAGTCGTGGACTGGCCGGCTCGTCCCATTTTGGTGCCGGTAAGTCGATCCATTACTAACCACAAGGTTAATTATCAATTTTAAACTAAATTAGACACTCTTACCAACAGAACCAATCCATCCTCGAGCCGGTCCTGTCGGCAGTGTTGGTGGACAAAACCAACTCCGAGGCTTTTCGAATGGAGGCGGCAGTTCCGGCTCATTGTTGTATACTACCGGCAGCGGTGTCCCACCCAGTCATCATTAAAAACTGTGGATGGTTATCAAGGACGTGGGGTTTGCGTTCTTTTTATGTTTTGTTTTGTTCACTTGAGTTTTTTTTTTTTTCGATTTGGTCAGGCATACCCCCTCCCCTCTCTATAATCAGAAAAGCAAAAAGAAGACATTCTACATATTCCGTTCCATAGGTTTAATTAGTGTCGATCATAAGCATCCACCCCTCTCTTCCCTTTTGCTCTCTTTATAGCATCATCTTCACACTCACCCTCACACCCTCACAGAATTGAATCTCTTAGAATAAAACCTCAAAAATACACTTAAAACCAACAAAAACAAAAATATTCTAAATTAGAAAAACAGAACTTTTTTTTTACTTTACTTCATGTAGCTCTCAGTTCTTTGTTGTTCTACATAATCCAGAAGAGTGAAAATACATACATACAAGCCTGTCTGAGTAGTTCAACAATGGTCTCTTTTTTCCCTTTCCTTCTTCATTTTTCACTTTTTTTGATTTTTGTTTTGAGATCCTAGCAAATCCTCACATGCTCTTATTTTTCTCTAATTACATACACACAAAAAGCATTTCTTACTTGACTTGACTTCCTTCACATTGTGTTTTGAAAAAAGACAAAGAAAGAAAGACTTTTTTTGATTCACTGTATGTTGGTTTTCCCTTCAACTTGGTTGTCATTTCTCAGAATATTTCCCAGTTTTAGATTCTTTCTTTTTGGTCCTATATTTCCAATTTTTACATAGCTATATAAAGTGAAAACAAAATAGTAAACACTTAATTACATCAATAACTCATAATATTTGAAACAAAACAGACATCTTAGTATATACAAATAAGTTGCTGCTAGAGAATGAAATACCACTTATATTCTCATCTATAATCTTATAAGATTTTCAGTGTCAAATTTGTTCATCCTCTTCATAATCTAAATCCACTTTGACACCTCAAACAAATTTTTCAGGCTTTCAATTGTTCCCAAGTCCAATTTTGCATCAACTGACACTCTTGACCACTATATTCACCTTCAACCAACACTCTTCTGATTGATTGAAAAGGGAAATTCAATAATTAACAGAGATCAGTTCTCATGGGTCATGATCACATCAAATTGGGGATCAACTCTTTTTCAGAACCAGTGCTCTGTCTGGCCTGGCTTGACGACCAATTTTACATATCACATGGAAGATTCATCTTGAACTATACTCTATCACAACCAATCTCCTTTCCAAGCTAAGCTTGGTGGTCTTATTGTTGTGATAGCATACAAGGGCATAGCTTGCAACTCCACCTTCCCCTTCTATATTCAGAAAAGTGGGTGCTCACTGTTGTGGATATAGTCATATAAGTGCTTGACTGCAACAGATGTCACAGATTGTCTACACAGGCGCACAAGTTCGACGGAAATTTCTCCGCCAGTTGGTGGTAAATTATACCACTTTGACCCCACCAGGAAGTCAGGGGTGAAATGCGGTCGAACCTCTAACCCTTTTGACCGCCTTTCTATTTGCCATCACAAATCGGGGGAATTTCTGCGAGATCCCCGCTGATTTGTTAGCAAACCGGCCTCAACCGCCAAATTGACGAGCTCATTTCTGACCACCACCGGCCGTTCGTGCTCCGCTCCTCCACCCACTGATTCCCCGACGGATAATGAGGATCCGCACTGTGATCAGCTCATCCGATCCAGGAGCTCAATGGACACACCTTGAGGATCAAGCCCGCATGCCAGGGATTTCGTTGAACCGGATTCACACGCGGGTTGGGGAGAGATCCGCCCAGGTCGCAAACGAACCAGACTCAAGTGTGCGGGTAACACTCTTGCATAAACCGGACCGGTTGACGGACCTGATATCCGCCGGGTATGCATTTGGTCCAAACTTTTGAAACTTCGGGACCACAGAGATTTAGCCCGGGGTCAAGATGCAGTCAAAATTTCATGTATTTATTTCTTTTTCACGTGGATTCACATAGAGCGTTGGGAGTAATATAATGTGGTCTGTAGTAAAAACAATTTCGCCGTTCTGGCATTTAAGATAATTGAAGAGAATAGCATTCACTGGAGGAGGTCATTTGACCATTTTTCTTGGGGTTGAGCACGGGAGAATAAAATAAAAAGGCGATGCCTCTGCCTCGGTTGGAAAGAAAGTAAAAGACGGAGGCAGTTGTTGAACTTCAGCCGGAGAAAGCGGTCCTGGGCCTCCAACCCTCAGCAGAAAGGACTAGATTCCCCTGTGCTCCCGCCGCTAGCAGACATCACACGAATTTCCTCCTCAACATCTTCGTCAGTTGGCACCCGGATGTCTTCGTGGTCCATATCCTCAAATTTCACCCCATGTCCAAACAGCTCCTTGTCAATGGCTTCAACAACACGGCCGTACCTGTTTGTTGAAGGAATTGTCATTCAGTTGCCTGTTATGTGGAAGTTCAATCTACAGGCAAGCAGTCTACATACGCGATTCGGTAAAGTTCGCTTTGGCCCTTAACATACTCGAGTTGTTGATCGATCAACTCCCATTGAGATATATTCTCCTTGGGGTCCCGATGAATAAGATGGACAACAACATAGAGTCGTAAAAAGGCGAGCCGAGTCCTGACACTTGCTGGGTAACTTCGCAGGATATCCGCAACTGTCCTGGCCTGCTTTCGAGCGGCCATGAAGGTATCGATCTATAGGCAAAGAAATGATGGAGAATAGTCGGCGGGGGAGGGGAACAAGGCGGTTGGAAGATGGTGGAGCTTACAATTAAAACTAGGCCATCCAAATCTGGAACAGCCCCATCGATGGGCCTATGATTATGCTCCTTGATGTTATGAAGGAGCTGAGTATTTGTAAGGAGACCGATTGTGTCAGGGTTCATGCTTGGCAGGGGTAAGTTCAAATGAACTTACCAGCGTGCGCAAGAGGCATTTTTCGGTCTTCAAGAGACCCCTCATGAGCTTGAGAACCTTTGCACTGGCGGATATGTCCCTGGGGTATCCTGGGGGCAGGTAGTCCTTGTGAAAAGAAGGGCTTTGTGATTGGACATAAGCCTAGAATTTAAGATATGGACATCTGATCAAACTTCAGGAAAAAAAGGGCTAAAACAAAAAATGACAACGTGCCTTGATCAACAATAAAGGGGTTTGGTTGATCGGCGTCGAGTTTGCAATCGTCATGGTGCGAGTGTAGGCATCGACATTCCCTTTGGCCAGTATCAATCTGAGGTGGTCACGAATGAAACACTGGAACGTGTTTGATGTGATAAAGCAAGAAGTCAATGTACTACATCTGCCAAGCCAGCCCCATGGCCCCTCAGCAAGCAGAGCGGAATAAACTAACCTTTAAGTGTGTCGAAAAGGTGAAGTTTTTGGCTTCGGGTGTGGGTGCCGATAAGGGGTTTGAGACCGTAGCATCCGACGTCTTTCCCAGGAGATGTACAAACATCAAGACGGTCAGGCCCCACTTCTCTGATTCAGTAGCCTATGACAGTGATTGTAGCATGTGAGAAAGGTGCACCGGAGGTTGCTCATGTTTCATCTTAGGTTTGCCTTTGGTGGTACTTACTCGGAATAACCGATTGGCAAGTGCCAAGTTGCTCTCCGACAAATGCAACCGGCCTTGGAGTTCACCAACTAAACTGCCTCCGACCGCGGTATCTGCGGTTTCCTGGTTAGGAGGCGGCGGGGCAGCCCCCCAAGTGAGAGCAGGGGCATCTGGCAAAGGATCGTAAGAAGATCGATCCTCGTGGTCACTGCTACCTTCACTGTTTGAACCCCCGGGATTTATAAAATTCTCGGAGGTGGGCGATGGCTGACTTTCTCCAAGCCAGTTCAGAGCAGGGTCCAGAACTGGATCGGGAGGTGGAAAGGTTGCGCCCGCCCAGCCGGAGTTGGCTGATTCATGACCCTCGTTATTGGGCCATTGGGGTCTGCCCCCCTCCGGTGTGGCAGGAACCAATCCGCCGCCTTGGGAGACACTGTGACCTCGATTGGAAGCTTGGCCTCGGTTGGAAACTCGGCCGCGTGTTGAGCCCCGCGATCGATTTGCCGATCCTCCGTGCGGATGAAACCGATCTAATCAACAATCAACAGGGGTTAAATAGCGGAGATGAGATCAGGAGTGGAGACGAAATGAGCAGGAAGTCCTCACTGTTTGGAGGCACATGGGCAAGAGGTAAACGCCCTCTGTTGCGGGGAGTCACAGCTGCTGGAGATTGAGAGGGAGTGACTCGGTCATGTGGTTGAGACATCTGATACAGGAAGGAAGGGGAAGTCAGCAAACTGGAGCCTGAGACTTGGCGATGGGCCAATGGGAGGGTTTAAATGATGAGGCAATGGAGGCAGGAAAATTTCACCTTTTTCGACGGTCAGTGTCAGAGCAGCTTGCTTCCACACCATCATCCAGCCTCTCTTGCATTCCACATCACCAGAAGCTGCAATCAATCCCAGAGGGATTTTTGAGTTGGCCGGGCATTGGGGCCGTCTCAACCCAACCACTCTGCAGTGGATCCAAAAGCTTGCTTGCACTCAAGTGTCCGGACTAAAATTCATCTTGTTGGCTCCATCAAACTCCCACTTGACCTGTGTGTTAAACAGAAAACAAACCCCACACCTGGATAACTTTTCACACTCAAAATATTGTGTGACTTTTGGGTGAATCCAGCTGATTTGACATGAATATTCCAGGTAAATTTACATTATCATTTTATTCTATAAACAGTTTCCATTTGGTTTGGACATTGATGAGTCTTTATGTAGGCTTTACCATTGCTGGCCGTGAACATGGCAGAACCTCCTATGCGTGTGAGGCCTGTCCCGGCAGGACTACTTTGAATCCTGCGGAACATTTGCAAACACAAATGCATATAATCAATGCCAGCTTGGTCATCCCATTTGTGGAACCATTGGACCCCCATTATCTCACAGGTGCTGGGCATAGTGCTTTACAACCTGAAGTTGCAACACTAGCCTTTGACACCATCCATATATCACAAGATCATGGAGAAAACTCTGATGATGGTGAAGTGGTGGTACCCACAAGGGAGGCAGAAGTGTTATTTTCCAATCAAAATCAAACAGATCATGTGGAGTTGGAAGATCAAGAAAACTGGGATGATAATATATTTGAAACAGTCACTCTGGCACAAAATGTCACTTCTGGAATGGAGGAAACATCTTTGAGTGAGAGTGAATCAAGGGTGATGACTTCACACTGGTACCCATACCAAAACAGAGAGGTGATTATATTTCCATCTGATAAAACATTTGTAAGATGACTAATCACCCAGCTTTAATGTAGGCTCTGATCGGGACTCTTATGCATGGATACATGAGGAGTTCAATTTCCCGCAACATGTATTCCCAACTTCGCCTGATTCTCTCCCTTACTGGCTTGGAATTGCCTCACTGGAATACCATAAGGAATACCAGTGAAAGTATCAGGAATCTTTTGGGGTTTCATGTTGTAGAAAATGAAAGTATTTGGGGCAACAAATGTTATTCTGTCAGTATCCCACAGATTCTTGCACAAGTAAGTCAGATATTTCATCAAATTCCCTTGTTTCAATGTAAAGATTTCAAAAAAAAAAAATTCATTGCACATTGATTGTTCCCAACTGATCATGTGTCAATTTGAATCATGGTATGTTAGGAAATTGCCAACCCATATGTGCATCCACATTTGGATTTCTATCCTGAGGAGACCAATGGTCTTAATGTTTACAAGATGTCCCAAAGTAAGAAATGGAAAGAATAATTGGGCCCCCATCAACGAGTGCAAATGGCTGTCAGGAATGATAAACATTTTTACATCTTTGAACCAACTCAATTAAAGTCCGGAAAAATTATAATTCCTCTATACTTTTTCCAGATGAATAATGAGATATATGCCAAATGTTCAAAACCATCTATCACACCCAGCAGCAGGGACCCAAAAAAGCTCATAATTGAATTTCCAGGACACCTTGAATTCACATCTCATGAGCTGAGATCAATCCCACTTAGTGAATTTGATAAGATATACTCTGAAATAACATGGGGAAACCTTGGAAAGTTGTCACAGGCATGCCAGGGATTAATTCATGGTGAGTTTCAAAATTCTTGACAGAGAGAATACATATGTGAAGATCATATACTTACTTATTCTTCCACAGAGATTGGTAATGAAACTCCACGCACTTTGCCAAATCATTGGAGATTTGTGGCAAATGGGAAGGTAATACGGCACATGCCCATAAACCTGTATGCTGATGATACGTCAGGGAATATTTCCAAACAATTCAACAAGCATGTATCCTTCTATTTCACGCTTTCTGGACTGCCACCAAATGTGGCCAATCAAGAGTATAATTGTCACTTTGTGACAACCTCAAATGAGGCAGGTGTGTTGGAGTTGGCTGACAAAATAACGGATGAGATGAAGTTAGTAATTACCATTTCAAATGAGCTACAAATGAAAGTGACTAACATGCTTGAATTTCAGTGACTTGGCTACATTTGGACATATTGCTTATGATCATGAGCTGGGTGAGGAAGTCCTCATAATGAGTGTGGTATTATGCTTCCAGGCGGATTCGCCTATGCATGCAGAGGTGACCAGTACTCACCTTCCAAATGCTGCACTGAATGCTTGCCGCATGTGCAAGTTAAAAGCCAAAAGCATTGAAGATAGACGAAGCCTTCACTACATCCAGGCTTTCATTGGGCATAACACCCAAGGAGAAGTGGTATGCATTCATTGATTCATTCATATTTATTAATGAATACATTGTCCTAAAAGTTAACCATCAAACTGATGTCAATTTCATTTGCCCTCAAAGACCAGACCATCCCCAAGGTCATGGCAGGAAACCCAAACTGGAGCCAAATACTTGTGGAGAATTTCCAAAACTGACTCCAAGACTGTGGTGGACAACATGATCACAGATTTAGGAATCAAGGACAACATTAACAAACAAGCAATGGATATTGTCCGAGAAGGCAAGGATCAAAATATGATTAATAAGATAAGAAGATTGGATAATGAGGATGATCAAGGAAAACTTTTCAGTCCAATCCTGAGGCTCATAGGTAAAGTCTCAATATCATATTTAATTTCTGTTTGGTTAAAGATTGAAATGTATGATTTGTTTATTTCAGGCTTTGATGGGTGTCAGGACACGCCAGTGGAGATCCTTCATGTTTTCCTGCTTGGTGTTGTGAAGTATGTCACTGGTGATTTCATGCGAGGTCTGAAAGCACATCACCTTGAGAGATTAATGGCATCGTGGGAGGCTTTCAATACAAACTCACTGAACATTGAATCCATCAACCCATTGAACATGGCCAAACACCATGGGAGTTTCCTTGGGAAACATTTCCGCATTGTTCTGCAGGCTGCACCTTTTGTATTTTATCAATTTATGACAGATGAACAACGTCTCCTCTGGATTTCATTGTGCCAGCTTTCAACATATGTTTTCCAAACCAGGATCGATGACATGAATGTGTATTTGCAAGAGCTCAAAAATTCTATTGACAAGTTCATGTGGCACATAACCAAGATGACATGCCAATGGGTCAACAAGCCAAAACTTCACATGCTTCTCCACTTACCTGAATCCATCAAAAGATTTGGACCAGCAACCCTCTATGCCACGGAAAAGTTTGAAAGTTTCAATGGCATTTTACGTAATGCATCTATACATTCCAATCGTCACAGTCCTGGCCGAGACATTTCAATTACATTTGCCAATGAAAAATGCTTGCGGCACATTGTCTCAGGGGCCTTACATTGGAACCACAGAACCAATGGCCGATTTCGTGCGGATGCTCAAGTGGTGGATGTGTTCAGAAATAATCCACCAATTCAAAAGTCTCTTGGGTACAATCATCTACTTATAGCACCCCAGGAACAACAACAACCATCTGTTGTCCCTACCTCACTCCCCAAAGAGCAAAGAGAAAGTGTTCCAGATGTCTTGAAAAGGAATTTGGGCCACCATCAACTGAGACAAATTCACCAGTTGAAATTGTTCCAACATGATGTAGTGAAGAAGAACTACTTTGTATTGGTATGGATTGTTTTACTAGAAACCATTGTTCTTTTCAATCAGCTCACCATGCCTCTCAATTGAATGCACTCCAGGTCAAGAAGAAAACATCCACGGGTTCCACCAATGATATTGAATGTGTTGAATCTATATGGTCTGCCAGTTTCCAAAACAATGTCCGGTTTTTCATCAAGGGACGGAGATTCTCCCTTGGGCCCATACATCCATTTTATCAAATGAAAGTTTTGGAAAGGACCAGCCAAGTTGATTATTTTGAAGCACGTGTATGTATCTTGCTTGAATGTGGCCAGTGTGCATATGAAACCCAACCTTCTGAATACTGCTGAATACCTCATTGCTTGATATATTAAACAGGATATAGTTTCTTGCCTTAATGCTCAACACAATTGCCAATCAGGAAGATGCCAGGTGGCGGTTGGCTTGAGGAACAAAGGCCCCAATTATGAGGGCACACAAACCACACACACCATCCGTCATAATGATAACAAAAGTTTCATATTGAATTCAGCCTCATTAAGAGATCCTGTAGCTCATCGCAAATTGGCAGGAATACATGTTGAGTCCCCTCGGGACTGGGCCACTGCCATTACCACTGGTCAAGCCAGGTGGAAGCCCACTGCACCCCGAAATACCCCTGCCTCCATGATGCGTGCAAGCAGCATGACACCCAGTTTATTTTGACTTTTGAGGGTCATAGCCATTTTTCCCTGAATTATCTGATCTTTTTCCAACCACCAAACATGCCTTTACACATCTTGATACATCACCCCATGAGGATTACAAGAAATATATCCATGAGAAATATCTATACACGAAAATATCCATACATGAAAAACTTGAATACATGTAAAATATCTATACAGGAAAAATATACATAATAAATTTCTATAAATGCCAACCTCATAAATATCTAACATGAAAAATCTCCATACATGAAAAATATACATGATAAATTTATATAAATGCCAACCTTAAAAATATCTAACATAAAAAATATACATACATGAAAAACTTGAATACATGTAAAGTATCTATACCTGAAAAATATACATGATAAATTTATATAAATGACAACCTTAAAAATATCTATACATGAGAAATTTCTACACTATATTAGTGATATCATAAAAAAATTGATCCAGATGAATTACTTCAACTAGATGATTAGTGGATCATGCTGAAAAAAAAAACATGTGCTTGAGATATAATTGCTGAGTTCTTGTATAATGAATTATTCACCGGGGTTTATTTTAAGACTTGTCAATTGAGAGGATGAGGTGGACATGAACTGTGCCCTATCTCATCAATCACCAGTAAATTGGAATGAAAATTGAATGTGAAGTGATGAATAATTTTGGGTTGAACTGGATTTTTCCTTCCACCAAACTGACAATTACTTCTGAACATTGAGGGGGGCATTGTTGATTATTTTGATGAATTTGGCCAATTATCAGCGTGACAGAATTTGAATTTGAGACAGCTAATTTGGGAGATGATCATCAGGAGGACATTGAAAATTGAACTTGCTCAAAATGAGTGAAATAACCGTTGGAAAGAAGTTATGAGCCCATGTTGCCCTTAAACAATTTAATGTGTTGGGGTGCTCAACAACTCTTGTGAAGGAGTCAACCCTCCCCCCCCCCCCTTGCATTGGACAGCTGCTCTTGCCGTGTTGCATGGTCTGGGCTCTGAAAAGCTTGGTTTTGAAATTCATGGTCTCACTTGAGTTGAATAACTCATTCTCAGACTGCTTTTGACCGCCTGATGCTTGATGATAACTTGAATCACCTGCAGCCCAAACGATTGGGGCAAGGTGGAGAAGCCGATGAGGACCCTCATCACTCAAGCTCGAACAGCCTGGACAGAACAACCAACCGCAAGTGGACCAGAAATCATCAGAGGAAAAAATTCCCCAGAAGTGTTGGTTATTTTATCTCTGCCTGCCCTGATCAACAGCTGAGTTGTTGATTTGTCCTCTGCACTGCAGGAATTATGGTTCGACATACGCGTAACAGCCTCAGGGCCCGTGGCCATATTACCTCCCGACGCTCTTGGAGACCCCGCCCTCGCCCTGCTATTTACATCGACCTTGAAGCCGAGATGACGCCGGAACCAACTGTCAGCTCCAACCATCGCCAACCAGTTGTTGCAGCAAACGTGGAAGAGGAAAATCTCAGGGTTCCGGACCATGACGGCACCATCAATTCCACCGCTGAAGCCCCTGGTACTGCGCAAGGCAATAACGAGGAAAACCCACGCCACCAGAACAATAACCATCCCGGCATTCCCTGCCACCGAGCCGTCGATTTAACCGCTCCTGGGTCCCTTGCCAACATACACCCGGCTCGCCCGCCTTTGCCACCACCTCGTCCTGCTATGGAGGCAATCAACATGGAGACTTTTCTAAACGTGGCTCGAATCCCTCGCCACGATATCAATACTCGTGCCAGAATGGAGATCCACTGTATCCTTCACTGGTCATTCTTTCGCGCATCATCCGAAGCCGAGTTAACCCGATTGGGCTTCCCCTTGGGGATAGCCCGCTTGCTATGCGAGGGTATTGGGCGTTTGGAGGCCTTCGTTGACGAGATGGAGAGAGATGGGATTGAAATGTCTCCAATAATCTAAGCAACCACCTGGTTTTAAAATAGCATTACTTGATTCCCGTATCGTAGTTACTCTGATGAACACAAGCAATTAAATGTTCATCAACAGACTTAATTCATTTGTTTAAGAAGTTAGTGAGGCCAATTTGGCGGCTGTGAGAAATCTAAGACCTGTGGTGGAGCCCACAATGTCCAACATGCATGACCAAAATGCCTTTCCATGAAGATGGCAGAAGCAGATGTGCAGACAAACAATCTGATGTGTTTTTGGAGGTGAGTGGATGCCTTGTGTGTTCCCCTCTGATAGGGTAAGTGGCTCTCATGTGGTTTCAAATTCTCAAAGACCTTTCAACCAATTTGGTTCATGCTATTTGGATTGACCATGGGGAAACAACACACATTCAATTATTTTACACATATGAATTTAATGTGGATCAGGTTCGTGAATTTAAATCAATGCAGAGAGATTTCAAACGGCTGCAAGGGGTGCAGGAACTGGAGGAAGACATGAATTAAAGGTTGATCGATTTCGTGAATTTAAATCAATGCAGAGAGATTTCAAATGGCTACAAGGGGTGCAGGATCTAGAGGAAGAAAACATAAATATGTCAAGCTAGTATCGGTAGCAAGGTGCCTCCGCTTCTGAGGCTCTGTAGCCATGATAGAGGGAGATGTAAGCGTCGGTTAACCGGTCTTCTTCATTTGCCTTGTTAGTGGAAATCGTCTCATGCCTCCGTTTCATTCTTGCTTGATCCCCATCCATGTAGCGCATCAGCGTTGAGTAGATAACATCCTGTTTTTCCCGTTCCATCTCAAATTCCCTCTCTTCACGCGAAGTTTTCAAACTGTTCAGGGTGAGACGGGCAGTGTGGTGGGCCCGCGAGATTGAGACCAAGGCTCCAGCCTTGTCGGCGACATCCGTTGGAGGCTTGAAGTCTTTTTCGGGTAAAACCAAACCCGAAAGATCCAGACTTAGCGGGCGTTCGATCGCATCCTTCAGCAAGAAGAAAACCTTCCCACAAGAGACCAAGTCTTAGTATTCAAGTGGCATGATCGATACCATGGAATTGGAAATGTTTATACTCACACTGGGCGACATGTGTTGTTGAAAAATCCTAGCTCGGATTCCCCGATGGGCATCTTCAAGGGATGTTTCCAATTTGATTGTAATCCCCTGAGTAAATCTCATCATCAGTACAAGATGATTGAGGAAAACTGGGCCAAACCATTCAACTTACAGTCCAGCGAACCACGAGTTCTTTGTATTTTTGGGTCAGTTCAGTCAAACAGATCCCAGCAAGATGGGGAAACTTGGCGCGGATGGCTTGGTACTCGGAAACATAGGTGGGAATCAGGTCACCAGGTCGGGCCGTTTGGGTGAGGGATTCGTGGTGGAATTGCCACATGCGAAAAAAGGTGACCAAATCAAGCAGCAAGTCGTGGTTCCAGGCGATCAGGGTTTCGGTTCTGGGCAGCTTGGGCAGCCTTTCAGGTGTCTTCATGCTTGAGGCTGTGCTGTCTGCTTTGGTGTTGTCTTCAGGGTCCTTGCGCTTGCGACACACACCCTGCTCGGAGGGGGAATCGATATTGAGGTCCCTGGCGGCCGGCGAGCCCGGTGGTCTGAGGAACATGGTGGGGGTGAAACACGAGTGGTCGACTGCGGGTTGGCTGATTGTGTCTTTCATTGGGGCGGTCTCGACTTCTGGTGGCGAATGGAGTCCAGTCGGAGTGGATGAGTCCATGGTGAATTTAAGTTCAGGAAGAGGGGTGCAAGGGGAAGGGTTTCATGGCCAAGACTGGCCGGCGGGGCCGGCCAGTCCCAACCTCATCAACCTGATGCTGGCCATCGTGGGGGTGTGTCTATCAAAAATCGGCAAAGTTAGCCGACTTTTTGCCTGTGCCGACGATTTGGCGGCTAACTGCGGTCTTACTGGCGGGTCCGGTCAAACCGCGGGGCAGGTAGGTTAAATTTCCGCCTAGACAACTGGGTGAGCAAATTGCCATGCGGGATGTGCGAGAACTTGTCCCCCTGTGTAGTTAGTTTACTTAAATCATTTTAACCACTTAGTACTCAAAATCATCAATCTCCCAAGTTCTCACTCCAACACTCACAACTAATTTTGAGTATTATAGCCTGAATCAATGCTGAATCAGGTACAGTATCTGCCATGTATCTGCCATGTATCACTCCATCTATCTGAGCACCAATAAAACAAAAATATCTGACCAATGTGGTTTTGTTTGAAAGGAGATTATGGTTTTTGGCTATGCAGATTTGTAGAATTCTCCATGATACACACAGTGTATTGTATCTATTACATCATTGTGTGATTGAAATGAATGTGTTGCTTGAATATAGCTTTTGAAATCAGCCTGTCAGTCTGATTCTGAAATGAATATTGTTTTGCAGATTTGCCATCTAGTATTACACATGTCACATGGGTCCTTCAACACAATACATCTATGTTTTTCATGCTTGTTTTGCATGGATATCCATTTGGTAATTTTTTTCTTTTTGATGTGTTTGGCTATTTTTATTTATCCGAATATGTAATAGAAACAATGAAAAAGTCAAAAACATTTTTTTCAAAGGGTTATTATGTCATTTATGTATATATGCTAGAAAAGTAATGACAGAAAGATCTCCACTTTTATGTATGTGAAGTTAGTACCACACTAGGAGCTCTGGAAGAAATGTCATATAAAAACATTGATTGGTGTGTCTCCAAAAGAGTATTATATTTTGAACATGTCATTTTGTGGGTCTTTTGGTTGAGTTTGAGATCTCTTTCCCCATGTTTCCCTTGTTGGAATTTCAAAACACGAGCTGCTGGTGTCTCCAATTGTGATAGGTTTAGTTTCATAATGCTACTGTATGCATAGAGTTGATCCCTCACTCCATGTTGACAAGAGAAACTCTGGCAGACATGTCAGATATAGCAAGTTTATTGAGATGTCTCCAAAATAGTATCATATTTTGAACAAGCACTTTTGTAGGTCCTTTGGTTTAGTTTGGGATCTCTTTCCCCATGTCTCCCTTGTCAGAAAAACAAAACACAAACTGCTGGTGTTTCCAATCTATATATAATTTGTTTCATAATTCTACTGTGAAATCATCAAGATTTCCACCAAGGAAAAATATTTCAGGACTCCCAACTGTCAGATTAGTCTATAAATAGACGCACAATTTTCAAGTTGTCATTGTGCATTTTCAGCTTCATTCCTCAATAGGAGAAACTATTGATTTATCTTCAGATTTCAAACCAGCTATAAAGAAGTAAATTAACTTCCTGCATTTCACATCAAAACAAAGAAAACTGACAAAATTTACATTCTCCAGACCTTCTAAAATAGTGCTAGGTTTATTTTCCTGGGATACTCATCAGGAAATTAACAATGGGTCTTTGCTTACTGCTTGTTTTAGTTCAGTGACAATTATTTTCTGGAAACAAAATTCCACACAGGTTTTAACTAACAACTAAATCCTTTATATCAGATTCAAGGAATTGGATTAACAGTTGGAATTCCAGTCCATGTACCTCCTCCAGCAACCAATCCAATAACCACTGTTGGAACGGGTACTGTAGAATACAAAATGCCGCAAAGCACCTTTGATTACATTGCAAGGGATTATAAATACTATCTTGGACATGAACAGTCCCATCCAATTGGTTCATTGGAGTATGAAAAACCTGTTAGTTATACTCGCATAAACCTCATTGAATTTAATACACTTTAGGGCTGACATGACAAATCATATATACTACTTGTCAAGGACATATCTGAGGGGAGAACAATTCTCCAAGAACACTTACTTAATCAAGGCAAATCAGAAGAAGGCCAAAAAATTAGTTGCTTGCCTAATGGTGAAGTGGAAATCAAAGAGGGAAATTATGCTTGCACCATTCACCCCAGCCGCCCCTTTCCTAAAGAAACCTGGTCTGAACTTGCAAGGGGTTTGATTGAAATTACACCTTTCTTGGCCCGGGTTGCCCTGGCAACTTTGGTTTATGCTTGTGTAGTTCCATTCGAACCAGTCTACTTCAAAGCCAAAGAATATTTTTCTTCAATGAAAAAGGCCCATAAAGAATAAAACTCTGTAGAATGCCATTTAAAAAAAAATTGAGATTGTGGAAAATAAAAATCCAACCTCTTGCCTGTTCCTGCATTTGGAATTCAATTTTCAATTATTTGTTTCACTTAAAGATCAGCAATCTCATCTCATATCCAATCATATTATTTCCTGTGATTGCAAATGACCTTTTCCTGCAATTTTACTAAGTCTATAGAATGTTCCTTCTGACCATATAAAATCTTCAATTGAAGCCTATAAGAGAATTTTACTTTTAATCCTAAAGAATTTTCACCTCTCCCTCTGCTTGAAATCTATGGTTTTTCTGACTTCCATTTTTCCTGAAAGTTTGCACACCCAGGAATAAGATGGTTTACAGAGGAGAGATTCTTGTCAGAAAACATTAGGGGGTATCAAACATAAGAAATCCACCATTAGAAACCATTCAATTATTCAAAGATACTTTATCTCACAAATGGGTTCCCACAAGGGGGAAGATGAAGATCCATCATGATAAAAAAAATGGTGAATTTTTTCAAAACCAGTCAATTACATAATGGTGTATCTGGTTATATTCAATACCCCATATTGCACCTTCTTCTGGCTTAGAGATTTAAATTTTTGCTTGGAAACCTGATAAAAGGTGTGGAGACAAAAGACAACAGGGGAAAAAATGCCAAAAGTTGATAAATTTCTTACATAGTCTGGAACTTCTCAACCAAGGATCCAGAGCTTAGAGGAAGGTGGAAAACTACAATTGTGCCAAATGGTTGTATTTCAGAATTGAAGCATCATATTTTGGAATTCAAGCTACAGGTTCTGCACACTGCCAGCATAATCAGCTGGATTGAGGGCATCCCAGTTGAACTGGGATGCACTCAACCAAGTTAAGCTTTGTTACATCTCAACCAATGAAATAGAAATCCAAGGTACCACCTACCTTTAATTTCTATTTCACTGGTTGGAATCCAACCAAGTTTAACTTGCTTGTGTGCATCCCAGTTAAAATGGGATGCCCTCAACCTAGCCAAATATGTTGGCAGTGGTGTTGAGGCTTCCCTGCTGCAAAATCCTTGTGGGAAAATCCTTGTGGGAAAATCCTTGTGGGAAAAGTGTAACATTCCACTTAATCTTAGATGCTTATTACTGATGAGCAGTTGTATGTAGGTTACTATCACTAGAGGGATTATATGACAATACTGAGGGTTAATTATGGTAAGGTTTAATACTATCAAAGATGATACTGGAAAGGCTCAATACTGGTGTAAATCATGCTGACAGATATGTGTAGTATATATTCTGTGTATGGGTATTTGGAACAGGGAAAAGAGAACTATTTATAAGCACACAATTTAGGTTGCACAGATCAGAGAGTAAAAGAGTTGGGTAGACTAGTTGGGTGAACTGTCTAAGAACAATGCAACATGGATGATGAAGAGTGTTTAGCAGCTGTAGAAAAGCAAGGATGACAAAGAAAAGAATGGAGGACAAATGACATTTCATGACCAACATTGAGAAGAGGGAGACACAACTAGGAAAAACAAACTCAAGACATGAGGCTTGAGGCAGAAAAACAAGGTCAAAGAACCCCAATGGGGGCTAAAAGGCTGCTAGTGTGTGTGTGTGTGGTGGAAAAGCACAGACTACAAGCCAGAGTTGTCTCCTGTAGAGACTCCAGGGACCCTGCACAGAAGAACTGAGGGTTGTATTTCTCTGTGAGCAAGCTACTAGATTTGCTACTAAAACTAGGGGCTGATCTGTGGGACCACAGGAGAAACACATTGAATATTCACTTGGAAAGTTTAAGAAAGGGGAAAAAAGAATTACATAGACGTGAGATTCTAATGTTTCAATTTAGAGCCTCAAAAGCTAGATTTCTCTGTGAAAGTCTAGACCTTTTGGGTCTAAAAAAAACTGGGAGGGCCCTAGATCCAATGGGAAGTCATCCAATATTGGAAAGGGAATTAGTTTATCAACTACCAAAAATGAGAGTTCTGACTCCCAATTTTGGGGAGACATGCCCAACCAAGCTTTAGGAGTTTGACCCCAAAACTGCCAGAGTTTTGGGGAGTTGGACCCCCCACCCTGTTTGATTTAATATTATCATAATTTTTGAGAGTTGCAACTCCAAATGCCAATGAAATGCTCAGATTCTCAGATGAGGAGTGTGTTACTTGTAAGTTATATGTGTTTAGCTGTTGGTTTGGTAAAGAGGTTGATAATGAAAATAAATAAGGATACAAGATCAATGTAATTCATCAGATAGAATCATAATAGTAATAAAAACAAGTCAATCTACCACTGTAAAAATTAAAAATATTATCATCGCCATCATCATGTAACACACATACTCATACTCCTGCCTGATTCCCCTCTCTCTCAAAGCAGTTCTAAGAAAGAAGAGATGAGTTGAGAGAAATGTGATTGGATGTTGTTTGGTTCAGTCGTTGTTTATGAATGCGTGGAATCAATATTGCGTAGTCGTGCTGGTTAAGTATCCACTCTAATCCTTTCAAACTGTCGAAAACAAACAAAAAAAGATGGCAGCATTAGAATTAATGCCAAAATGTAGGAAGGAGAAGAAAAAAAAACAGTACATACAAAAGGGATCATATTTTCCCAATCTTGAATCGATTTCTTGTACATCGAGATATTCCCATCTGCTAAATCATTTAAGATTTCTTTTAATTCAAGCGCTTTTGAGTCTTGAAATACTTTGAATTCTTTGATCACTTCTTGGTTGAATTGGTCTGAAGTTTCATGAGCTGAAGTGACTGCTTCTTGTAACTTTTTTTTGAATATCAACAAAAAAAAAATGTTAGTTATGATGACCAAAACAGGAGAAGTCAAAAAAAAGACGAACATCTTTGATTTTTCCATCTAATTTATGGATCTTGGCTTCCCGACTAGTATCAGTTTCAGCCCCACTCCGAATGAATTCAAGTTTCTCTTTTAAATAAGAAGAGAGTCCCAAATTAGTCGAGAAACCAGCGGCGATGCGGTCTCGTTCGGTCGTCAGATTAGAGAGATAGGACGAAAGATCCTCGAAATCTAATTGCTTCTGGTCTCGTAACTTCAACACATTCCTGAAACTATCTGAATAGTTGATCAAGGACACTAGTTTCGTTATTAATGGCGTCGTCGTCGTCGTGTTCTGAAATTCAGACTGCTTCATTAGAAAACCCAAATTTCAAAAGAAAGAAACGAACAATCTTTCTTGTTGAGTGAAACTTACTAAATCACGCAGACCGATACTGTAGTCTAGTAAGGCTGATTCGAAGCGTGATAATGGATCGGTGATCCCAGATTCAAGGAATCCTAGGCCTTGGATGGATGCGGCTAGGTCCTCATAATCACTAGCCAAATCTGATGACAGGAAGAAGAAGAAATAAGCCGAGGAATAAGTGATCGATGTAATAGGAGGGGACGAGAGGTAGATTCTAACCGGTGATGCGAGTCTTGGATCTTCCTTCGATCCGTTCGATAGCCACCAAGCGTTCCTCGAAGCGCTCCAAGCCATCCCTGATCTCGAGGAACCTTTCATCAGGTTTACGGACCTTAGAAAAAGCATTGAGCAGGGTATCTGAGGCCATCTCGAGCAGCGTTGCTGGGGCCTCCGGGACCGGTGGATGGGCTAGATGGGTGTGCATGTCCACGTTCCATTGGCTCGATTCGATAAACGAGCGCAGTAGCTTTGACCTCGATAAGGTCGGATGTCTCGCTAGTCTTTGCATAAATCTTTCTAATCTGCTCATGTCCAAACAAAATTTCAAATCTGTTCGTCAACATATACGCTTGTTCTGCATTACTAGGAATCCACACTTACCCACTCCGACGTCTCTCTACGAAGTCAGGACTAAATCGGTCACCGGTAACGTATTCTGTGCAATGGAAGGTAAAGAAGAAACTAAGAATTATTCGCCTATTGACGATTTTTTTTCTTCTCTCTTTTCCTACGGGAGATTTATGGGACATACTCAATCTGGATTTGTCCGGGAGGGGAGGGACAACAGAGGCCGGGAAGTCTTTGATGAGATGGTCATGAAGGAAGACGAAGTCTTGGAATCTTCTTCTTGAGGAGGGGTTTGGAGATTGAAAGATGGACAGATCGGTCTAGGAAAACTCAACAACAGCAGGAGTCAGCATAAGATTCTTGGATATATAAAAAGTGAATTATGATGGAATACCTGTGCAGTGACCAGATAGGAGACAAAGCTATCCTTGGTTCCTTCGAGTTCTCGTACGGGAAGTTTGACATGGACTGTCAGGGATGAGTTTGGTTGCTGGTTTTTTGGTGAGTCTGAGTTGAGGTTCCCGGTTGAGTGTCTTCTGTTGCTGTTAGTGTTTTGATGATGAAGTTCTTCTTGTTGTTGTTCTGAAGTAGCCAGGTCCTGTTGGGTGTACTCTCGAATCGGTTCCTGCTGGTAGTGGTGCTGGCTGCTGTTCGCCTGTGGTTGAGGTGGGTCATCCCAGCTGACTGATGCGAATGTATCGTCCTCATCCAACATGTTCGTTCTTTCGTTTGTTTGGCTTCTTGGTGGGTTGTTGTTGGTTCTTGTTGGTTGTTGGGAGGTGTTTCCTTCCAAGTCTTCTCCTTGAAAATGTTGGATGTGTATACATACTCTCTCATCACCTCACTCATAGTCATCTCACCCTTGACCAAATCCACCTCCCCTATGCAATCCAACCAGCACTCCTATATATAGTTCCCCTTGATGATGACTTCTGACTCACTTCATCCCACATTATAACATATGTAGTTATATGTAATTCCTTGCAAATAACTCGAGCAGATATATCCCTCAAATCAAACCTGAGACTCGACAGAACCAACTCAAGGCCCAAACACATTATTACTCATTTCCAGCCCAAAGGGTAAATTTTGCTCAGCCTCAAGGAAGGAAATTTGATGCAGGGCCATCCTGCCTTCAGGGAAATGGCCTAATCTAATAGGCTTGTATTTTGGTACTTGACATGAGTCAAAGAATCTGATTGGGATTAACTTTGCTTTGGTGCAATTCTCATTACTTTTCAGCTACATTCTATCACTCACTATAGCTCACTGCACATCAAGATAGTTCAATTGCTAGTCATCTCAATGGAAAAATTAATTTGAAACTGACTGGGCTTGATACGGTGGATCCAGCTTCATGGCTCAGTTGAGAAAAGACCCAGAACTTGGCAGGGAGTCTGTGCTTTGTGGGTCTCTTTGGTTGATAGGGACTGTTGAGTAGCTTCCTGATCACCATCCGGAATAGTCGTGTCGTATAAACCTCTGCCCACCTCCAATCATACCACTCACCCCGCGACTCATCTGAAACCTGCTGCCAATCAGACACAACATCAATGGTTCAACTCCTGCCAAAGTCCTTTCCTTGGGGGAGACAGGAGCCTTGGCGGATGTGTCCAAAGTCCAAGAACACGAGCGCCTGGAGCTTTGTCCCAGGCTGAGAAGTCAGGGCACGACTGGAAGCGCACGGCCTCCAATCTTCCCAAGAAGAGGAGTTTATCATCTCCCCCCTCTCTGACTCTCTCAGCCCCGCATCGGTAGACGCTCCTCCCTCACACCTCTCCAGCTACCCCGTCTCCTTGCGCACCCTTTCTTTTTGGGAAACTCATAGAAGTACATTTGCCAAAAAATGTAACCTGCGAGATGAATGTAGATAAATGGCGCGATGCTCTAGGAGCAAACCATCTTCTACCAGAGTACCAGGATGTGATAGACGGATTCACGCACGGGTTCGACCAGGGTATACCTCAACACACAATTGAGAAGAAGCGTTGGTTCACGCCAGACAATCATAAATCCTCACTTTTAGCCAAAGATAAGATTCAAGAATCTATTGCCAAGGAATTAGCCGCAGGAAGGATGAAAGGGCCTTTCTCTCATCATCAAATGGAAGCAACGTTTGGTTTCTTCCGGTCAAACCCTTTGGGAGCAGTGGTTAATGGAGATGGGAAAATCAGACCAATCAATGATTTATCCTATCCTAGAAATGACACAGATGTAAAATCGGTCAACTCTTACGTGAATAAACTCGATTTCGAAACGACGTGGGACGATTTCAAGACAGTATCAAAATTCTTCGCAGAAGATAGGCGGAAATTCGAACTAGCACTTTTTGACTGGGAAGGAGCTTACAGACAGATACCAACTAGGCGAGATCAATGGAAATATCTACTCGTACAAGACTTCGACGGAAATTTATTGATAGACACAAGAATCACTTTTGGTGGTGTCGCTGGATGCGGTTCCTTCGGTCATCCAGCTGACGCTTGGAAACTAATAATGAAGAACCACTTCGACCTAGTCACCGTTTTTCGATGGGTTGACGACAATCTGTTTGTAAAAGAAATCGGAGTTGATCTGCCAATGAAAGATATAGTGCTGAAATCGACTGAACTTGGAGTCATGACAAACATCAAAAAGTTCTCAGATTTCTCAACCGAGCAGAAGTTCATAGGTTTTGTGTGGGACGGGGTGAATAAGACAGTACGGTTGCCGGAAGGGAAAATCGAAAAGAGGCTAAGTCAGATATATCCATTCCAAGTACCAAAGGCTTCGTTCGACTACGAGGACGCAGAAGTTCTTGTTGGGCGGCTGAACCACGTGGCTTACATCTTACCTCACTTAAGGTGCCATCTGTGCTCTTTATATCGCTGGTTAAAATCGTGGATCTGGAGGAAAGCAAAAGACCAACCCCGGTAGACGTGCTCGAAGACTTGCAAATCTGGGTAGAAACATTGGGCAATTTCGAACATACACGTCTAATAAGATGGGGACCACCTTTAGATGTGGGATGGGTGGGAGACGCATCCACCTCTTTTGGCATAGGAATCTTAATCGGGAAACATTGGGCTCAATTCAAACTAGTCGACCCGCATTCCAACAAGAAACGAATCTCACTATTGGAAACAATAGCGATAAGGCTTGGTCTCATAATGTTATTAAAACTTCGTGATCAACGTGGTAAATCTCTCATAGTTTGGACTGACAACACAACCACAGAGAACAGCATCAACAACATGAAAACAAAAGACAAGGACGCAAACGATGAATGGAAAAAGATACAGAAGATTTTGTTGACCGAATCAGTGAATTTGATAGCAAGGAGGGTTACGTCAAAGGATAACAAGGCAGACGCCCTGTCGCGAGGACTGCGGTCAGGCCAGCCTGTAAAGCACCAGGTGGTCATACAAGTACCGTCGGACCTGCAAGACCTGTTAGCCCAGGTCGTTTTCAAGATTTAAAAGGTGTACGACCTCCATTGTAATCCCCTAGTTCCTAGAAATATCTCATCCACTTTTTCCGTTCCACTCTTCTTTCGCACATTGTCATTTTAGTGTGTTTTTTACGAAAACTCAGTACGGCGACTATCATGTGTTCCTCCTCAAATGAAGCCTTTTTCTCCTCCATTAGAGATTTCACATCTAAAGGCCATCTTTTAAGAAGCCCAACCAAGCTTGACCAACATGTTTTGAATGGCTGGTCAAGATCAACTCTCAAAAGCTATAACTCGGCAGTTAGGAAGTTTCTAGCCTTTAAAAAGGCCCAAGGCCTACCAACTTTCCTTCTGCCGGCCACCGAGGACGACATCTACGAGTTCTGCTACTGGGCAGGGAAAACGGATGTCGACGGAGGCGAAAGTGGCGTACTCGCGGTAACACTAAAAAAGTACCTACAGGGCTTGAAAGCTTGGCATATTTTCCACGACTCGCCGTACCCGGTAATCTCCGAAAGGAAAGCGGCCCTATTGCTAAAGTCGTCATTAAAAGTAGAAACGTTGACACCGAAGAAAGAACCCAAAAAGCCTGTGTTGATTAAACACTTGGTCACCCTGGCAAACGACCTATCTTCAGGTAGTTTGGAGGATTCCGCGATCCTCGACCTGGCGCTGGTCGCGTTTTGGAGCCTAGCCCGACTAGGCGAGTTGACGACGGACCAAGCCACACCGCGGCGCAAGATCCTCAAGAGTCACGTCTCCATCGATTCCGCAGGCACCTCCGCAACAATCGAACTCAAGCAATCCAAGACTGCTCTACCAGGAGAGTCCCAGTTCCTACAACTCAAAGGGATGCCAAACATCCTCTGCCCGGTGCGAGCCCTAACTCGTCGCTTGGCGACCTGCGGACAAAGCAATCATCTGTTTGGCTACCGGAATGGCGACAGCCACGTAAGTCTGACGAAATATTTTGTGAGGAAACGACTCGCGGCAGTGTGGGCAGCCCACGGTTTCACCGGCCTTTCCGGCCATTCATTCAGGGTCGGAGGCGCTTCTTTCCATAACGCGGTGGGTATTGCCCCCGCTCAAATTTGCAAGGTTGGGCGCTGGGCGTCGGCCAGCTATAAATTATACATTAGGGATTATTCGGAGAATGATCTGCTCATTTCATTACAGCTGTTGGCTAGATTAGATTTGCAATGGAGATTGTCTTGATCTGAGGCTTATACCTCCCATTTAGCACGTGAGGGTCGAACCCAGGACGAAGTTTGGGGTTTCGCGCTAAGGCTCAGGCTTCTAACCTGAGTTCTAGGGTCTAGCGCAATCCCCCACACTTCTCCTCTCTGTTTCAGGAAGAGATCCTCCTCTACCATTTAGGCCCCCCTCACCGGGGGCAAATGAGTTCAGGGGATGACCTCTCCCAAGACCCTCACGCGCCCCTCCTGAAAACCCTGAGCCACTTAGGGGACCAAGAGGGGCTACGGGTAGGGCCATCAGGACATAAGATGTCCAGGCCGCACCCGGAACCCGTACAGAGACGGAACCAGTGTAGATGGATTGGATTGGGGGAGACAGGAGCCTTGGCGGATGTGTCCAAAGTCCAAGAACACGAGCGCCTGGAGCTTTGTCCCAGGCTGAGAAGTCAGGGCACGACTGGAAGCGCACGGCCTCCAATCTTCCCAAGAAGAGGAGTTTATCATCTCCCCCCTCTCTGACTCTCTCAGCCCCGCATCGGTAGACGCTCCTCCCTCACACCTCTCCAGCTACCCCGTCTCCTCGCGCACCCTTTCTTTTTCAGTTCCTCCCTCCCACCCTGGGGTCTAGCGCAATCCCCCACACTTCTCCTCTCTGTTTCAGGAAGAGATCCTCCTCTACCATTTAGGCCCCCCTCACCGGGGGCAAATGAGTTCAGGGGATGACCTCTCCCAAGACCCTCACGCGCCCCTCCTGAAAACCCTGAGCCACTTAGGGGACCAAGAGGGGCTACGGGTAGGGCCATCAGGACATAAGATGTCCAGGCCGCACCCGGAACCCGTACAGAGACGGAAGCAGTGTAGATGGATTGGACTCAGGGTACCCAGCAACAGCCTTGATGTGGGCAGTTCTCTTGGGGGTGGCTTTGGTTCAATTGGGAGGCGCAGTTGGCCTCAAGTGTCCAAATCCACGTTGTTCCAGTGTCCAAGTGCAAACAACAGCAAGAAATTCTGGTGACTGTTCAGAATTCTTCCGCTGCAATCACGGATACAGGCATGAGCAGTGCACATGGAACAAAGTTCAAGTGCTGGACTGTCGCTGCAAGACATGTGGCCGTAAGTGGGAGAGTAGTACCTGTCCATGGGAGCAATATAATCACAAATTGCTAAAATGTTCTACACATGATGTGACTAACTGAGATTAATGCAGCTCACAAGCAGTAGTCCACCCTCAAGGGCAATACCTTTATTTTTCTCCTTTTCTGGGATGAGCTTTATAATAGACTAGTCAAAAGGCAGTGTTGCAACCCACCCCTGCTGCAGTCTCCATGAGTTTAATTATTTTTCTATAATCTATCCCTGATTGGCAAATTAGTCTTTGGATAAAATATCCTCATAGTCAACACATTTGTGACCAATAAAATTTGGTTTCTTGGATTGAAAACAAAATTTGTTCCTGTTTGTCATATGCAACAGCCACAAATAAAGTTGACTCACCTTATGTAAGCAATCTCACTTAGGCATACCATCATTGAACAAGTTCTCCTTTGATATGCAGTCCTAAAGCGGCAGCCCCAGAAGCTGTACATCCATTTAACACTGCTATTGCCCTCTGTGATGGTCACTTACTTAATCCCATTATTTATCACCTAATGATTACTTGTGAATTATTATCCATCACTTTATTAGATATTCCTCAATCCAAACCTGATACTGTTTACAAGTAACCAAATAGTTTTTCAAACACTTTATCAGTCATCACCAGTCTACAGTGTCAATTTTTCATAAAGAAGGAAATTTGATGCAGGGCCATCCTTCCTTAGTTGATATGGCAGTCTCAATTGTATTGATTTTTGATACATAAACTGGGTCAAATAATCTGATTGGAAATGACTTTGTTTTGGTATGATTTTCATTGCTTCTCAGCTAAATTTTATCACCTGCTATAATATACTATACAACAAGACAATGCAATCACTAGCTTTCTCAACTTTAAATTAGTTTGGAAAGGGATTGAGATTAGTATGGTGGAGCCAGATTAATATCTCAGTTGAGAGAAGAAAAATGATGTGGATAGGAGCTATTCACATATTTAAATCAAGATGGATGCTTTGTGGGTTGCTCAGATTAATAGAGGCTGCCAAGAAGCCTCCTGATTATCCGGAATAGCTGTATTGTAAACTCTGCCTGCTTCAGATCATACCAATCAACCTCTGTGAAACCTGCTACCAATCAAACAGCACATCCATGGTTTGACTCCTGCCAATGACCTTCCCCTCAGAGTACCCAGCAACAGCCTTGATGTGGGCAGTGCTCTTAGGGCTGGTGTTGGTTCAAGTGGGAGGAGCAGTTCACATCAAATGTAGAAATAAAAATTGTAATGGTGACATAGCAGAAATGTCTCTAGGAAGGTCTGGCTCCCAATGTCCTCAAACCTTCAGCTGCAGACATGGATTCAGTCATGAGCCTTGCACCTCAACCAATGTGCAATTGCTGAATTATAAATGTACAACATGTGGCCATAAGTGGGAAAGTAGCAACTGTATACATGAGCAATTTCTTCACAAAATGCCTGCATGTCCTACACATGATAATAATAATCATGGTGGCAGCTCATGAACAGCCAATCATGGTAGTTCACCCCCAAGGAAGCACTTCTTTTCTGACTCTTGTGGATAAGCTTTAATACTAGACTAGAATCTAAAGGCAGTGTTGCCACCTGTCCCTACCTGACTTAAAACAAGCCCCTTTCCATCAAGGGACCTGTTACAGGGCTGATGCAAAGCATGACCTCCAAAGGAGGGACTTGGAGGTTATCCCTTACATTTGGTTTGAAAGCTTTTGAAATTTTGGTGGGTGCTTTCACATGCAATTGTGTTGATCTTGATTTTTTGAGCTACTTTGAAAAATACCAAAGAAGTCAAAACATGAGGAAAAATATACCAAGTTTCTACAAAACGTTTTTCTATCCAACTTTTCAGAATCCTTCTTTGGAACTCATTTTCCACAGTTTCACCAGTAAGCATAACTTGCAGTCCATTGTTCTGCTTCTAGAATCAAATTATAGAATAGTTCCATTGTTTCTGTCAAGGGGCTGTAGGTGGGTCAAATTTTCTCAGGAAAAATTGACTGGGTGACCTGATGTGTGGAATTGATTGAAAGGAGTGATGGTTCCATTGGAACTTATAGCTGTCCTATGATGAATATTTCATGGTTGGTGGCTACTTTCTTCACGGGTCAGTCTAAATGCACACCAAACCTTTACTACATACATACACAGTAATCTTAGAGTTCACTCCAATGTTTGTTGAGGTGAGCTATACTTCACTCCAGATTGAGCACTATGTATTTCACCTAAAATCCATATTTTTTTCTGTGCTCCACCGCGTGACAACCTCCCAGCCACACCTGCCCACACTGAAAACTCACGAGGAGAAGCTCGGAAGTTTTATGGAACCGGACTGGTGGTTGCAACTTGAGTTGAAGCGGATCCTGGAGCCGGCTTGATCCCATCTGGTATGTCGAACACCTACTTACACAGCCGGTCGACTGAGTCGCATCGGTGGCGAGCGATGCGACGAGTCCGTGACCCCGCATTAAAGAGGATGTGCCACCCATGACGCCCTGTTGAAGCAAGTCCCTGGTCAATCGGCAGCTGTGCTTCAAGTACTTCTACCGGTCATCTGATCTCATGGTGATGTGCTCCTTTTCCTTCGTCTCAGCCCCTCTGCACTTTCTTTAGATTCGACAGAGGGAATTGCATGTTGAGCTGATCAAATTGGGAGATATTGTCGTTTTGGTTGGAATAAGAAAAGAAAATGAAGCTGATGATACACTAACTTAACTAAGTCCCTCTCTATTCGGTTCGGAGGGTCGCTTCGCGAAGAAGGGGGACTTAGCTAAGTTAGATGATACACGAAAAACAGAAAAATGAGAGAGTACACCGCTTCATGTTTAGTCAAAACTTCATGAGCTTCTTTCCTTCCCAAAACCGACCTAGAATCAATTTCTTTGAATCCATCGATGTAAACTTGGAAGCTCTTTGAGATGGAACTTTTAGCGGGAGAGATATCCAAGACTTACAGTGACCAATTGCTTGATCACACCTTAGTATTCGTCTTCCCCTTTTGATTTTTTAATCAGGGTCTGTTGTAGATAAGGCTATCACCACGTTTCCTCCGCTGTTACATATTTGCAAACAAGTTCATCTAGCCCACTTTATTATTTTCCTTTCCGGACGTATTTACGCTGACTGTATCTTACATCGAATGTCCAATAAAATCACCTATTCAAGTTGTTTTTCGTCATCAAGTGTCTGACATCACTTGAAGAATCTTAGGTAGGAAGTAAAGCCAGGTGTCGCTTGACTTTGGCTATCAAGTCCTGTTAACGCGAAATGATTTGCGGCCGTCAATTTTGCCCCAACGTTTTCTCAACAAACGGCCCAGTAGTGGAGATGAGAAAAAAACGGGATGGACCAGAAATAGGCGGTTTTCTGAGTAGCTTGACTCGCAAGACTTGTCGAATTATTGTTCGAGACAAACAAGCCATGCAAGATGATGATAGATTAGAATTATTGTTAGCGCTCTCGATATCGTTTCTAGTGAGTTTGATAGCTGACAGTTGGGTAGGAAGCTGCCTGGTGTATTCAAATTTCAAGTAAAGAAGAACGCTTTGCTGGATGAAGACTCGATTCGATTAATAAAGGCTGTCGATCAGCTTCCTCATCACCCAGATTAGTCGTGTCGTGACCTCCGCCCGCCCCAAACCACCCCATTGACCCTGCTACCAATTGACCTGCTACCATCGACTTAACCAGCATATCCATGGTTCGACTCCTGCCGAAGTTCTTCCCCCCGGAGTACCCAGCAACAGCCTCATTGCGGGCAGTGCTCTTGGGGGTGGCTCTGGTTCAACTGGGAGTCGCTGCGATGGAATGCACAGCTGAAGGCTGTTCGCATAGATATGACGTCACCATGTATAAAGAACGGTCTGGTGAATGTTTGAAAGCGCTACTCTGTA